TCCAACTTTTGGATTGCTTAGGTGCTCACTCAAAATGAAATTAAAACTGTTAGCAAATTCCCCGATGTACTTAACACCCCCTCTTTCAAAGACAGGCTTTTTGGACCTGTTTCTGCTGGGGGGAGGAACAAAGTGCAATGTGTTTTCAACTACAGCCCCACAACTTCCCAGGAACTTCAAATAAATTATTCAAAGTCCCAGGGGATTGGCAAACAAGAGAGATAAAAGGCCCACATTGGGAGTGTGGGAAAAGGGAGGGAGAAAGCAGGGGCCAAGACTGAAGGTCAGGAGTTCCAGAAGAGACCATTTTCACAGGTTTTAGGTGTTGAAGCTGGGGAAGTTAAGACAGGCACTGGTAAGAAAGTGGCAATTAACCACACATACAAGGAGAGCTAATTGGTCGTTAAACAGGGCTTGGCTGCTTAGCTCTTATAAAAGCAGTTACACGCACCATCCACTTTAGCCAATCATCAAGCTTCGCTGCTGGGCATTCACTACCCAGAGAGCCTACTAAGGATAATAGGGTTTTTAATTTGCCTCCTGCCTTTCAACACAGTGTCGGGGAAACAGCAGATTCAGATTCGTTGTATGTGGACGAACTAGCCCAACAAATTATGTATTTTGGAAAATATTTTAAAAACCAATAAGCTACCTCAATGGCACATCATGTGTTTCTCCTCTGATGTATACCTACTGCTTAAAAAAAAAAAAAAAAAAAAGCATAAATGAAGTAGCATTGGAGGTCCTGATGGTGATGCCAAGCAAGTGTGTGAACTGGGACACAAATGAGCTACAATTTTGCCTTTACAAACGTGCAGGGTAAAGGAGGGCCCTGCATCAGCTTCCTGCTGTGACTTGACTTAGGCCTGGCCGGTTTGGCAGCCCTCCACACACCCATTACCTCGAGTGGAAACCTTCAGAAGAAAAGGGAATGGTCTCACTTTACTATCACCTGTATCCAGACGCGCACACTCACACACAGAGGTGCATGATTAACTGAGGTACACCCCAAAATGCCACAGCCTGATATAACAGCCCCCTGGGAAATGCCGTTTGGCGTTGTGAGGCTTTTTTTTTTTCTTCTTCTTTTTGACATTAAGAAGGAAAACAACACATGCAGGAAACCATAAAACCCTCCAAGTTAACTGTAGCCAACGGTCAAGCTCATTAGGACCTAATGGGTGGGTTGTAGCCTCTCTGTAAAGGCAGAGTGTTTGCCTCTGAATAATTCCCAATTTTCTCACTTGCCGGAATCTCTGCCTTTTAAACAAAGCAGAAGTTGCCCTCACTGTATTTATACCGAGTCTTTTCTCTCTTGCCTCTGTTACCTCTTACAAAATGCAGTTCCCGGGTCCATCTTTTATCTTGATACATGTCTCTGGAACTGGAATAAATACATACATATTGAAGCCAGTTAATCACTGACACTTACTCTTTCAAACAGGTAGGAAGTTGGAGAAAAGCACTGACGAAATCCACAACGCTGCCAATCCTAGTCACCCGGCAAGCTGAGGCCTTGGCTGAGTCTGCTGCTCTCTTCCTGAGGTGGAGAAGACGTCTATTTATGGAAGTCAGAACTGGGGCTCAGGAGATGGTGCTCCACTGCCCTTTCTCTCACTTCTGAACCTGTGACCTCACGTTATTATTGAAGCATGGCCCAATCAATTTTTCCATGTAACAAAAGGGAGGACTATCCTTTTGCTGTTTATTGGGTGAATATGCTGAAATGCTGAAGGGCAGTGATTCTCAAACTTTAGTGTGCTATGGAAATACGGAGGGCATTGATTAGTGCCCACCCCCCCTCACCTTGCCCCAGATTTTGAACGTTTTTAACATCTCTGCCCTTAAGGACCTCAAGGGTAACTCTGATGGAGGTTCATGTACCAGACTGGGAGACACTGATGCTGGCTATTTTATTTTTAAAACTTACTTTTATGTTGCACTGTGCCAGGCTGGTAGGTGCTTTATCTTTTAAAACAACCCATGGGGTAAGGAGCTGGCATTTAATGAGCTCACACAGGAGGCCAGGCATTAAGCCAGGTGCTCTACATGTGTAATTTTACCCCATTCTCACATCAGCTTTATATCTTAGCATTCTTTCTACTTGAGAGTTCAGAACATCCAGGTTTATGGAGGCTAAGAAATTTGACCAAGGTTCTTGAGCTCGCTGGCCTCAGAGTCAGCTAAGTGCAGGGTGCCACTAACACAACTGCAATCCTGCAGGCTGCACAATATGCAAAAGGATTTTGGAAGCTCTTAAGGCCTTCCTGAAACAAAAAAGAATGAAAAATGTATTATGTGCAACTAACCAGAGACGGTTAGGGGATGCAAGAAGTATCTAAAGGTTAGTTCTTGTCCTCCAAAAAAATTCCAGTCAAATGGGATACCAGTTTGGCTCTGCTAGGGTTTTGGAGGACTGGAACAGTGAACTAAAATCATTTTGTGCAAGGCTTTCAGGGGTAGTGTGTGAATTTTATGCTTTATTCTGGGCAAGAGGAAATCTGGTTGCTTTTCAGCAGTCTGAAACACCATGCAGATACCTGGAGGCGCTTGTCTCTTCCACCCCTCCCCCACTGGTTTTCAAATGATAGCCAGAGTCAAGACCTAGAAATATCTATGGAGTTTATTTTCCAGGATGAATCAAAGGGGTGGGGAAAAAAATGGATGAGAGAAATTGCCCAAGTCTCAAAGGAAAAAAAAAAAGACAAAACAAACACCGCCAGGAAGAAAAATAAATTATACCAATTTTTCACCCAAAGAAATCCAACTGGATTAGACAGGTTTGTATTCCTAGCAGAATTCTTTGTTTTGGGGGGACATATGGCTCTTTCGAGTACCTTCTCCGGATCCTTGAATTGTTTTAAATTTATGATTAAATACAGCAGCTCCTACTATTTCCCAAACCTTGTATCCTAATGCAGGGATACCCTACAAACACAGGAAATACTTGGTAAATGCTGTTGACCACTTCTTAATCCTTTACTTTCTCGCTTATTTCTATTCCTCTAATGCCTCCCACCCCCCACTTGCCACCCCCCCACACCCCCTAGGGCAGGGTAAACACAAATCCAAGAAGCTCTTTAGCCCAGGGCCCAGGATATCACTTTACAACTCTTAATTTTTTCCTGCTATTTACAGGTATTCAAGGAGGAATTGACAAAACTTGCTCCAACAAGTATTACTAATTTGCATTTCTGATGGGGCACAGGGCCAGAGCAGTGTCTTAAAAAAGGCTTCATATTCTTAAAGGAAAACCTGAAATTTATTCTATTGATTCAAATCATCTGAAAGAAAGTCATACTAAACTGATTTCTCAGTTTTATTATGTCTGGTACCACTTAACATGTAAGTATGAAGGAAAACTGATTCAAAGCAAAGTAAAAAAATGTTATTTTACACTTGCAGTCACCTCCTATGAAGGACACACATGTTTAAGCTTTTATTTTTAAAGCAATCTTATCAAAATTCTTAATGAAAATATTTATAGCATATGTATGCCCTTCCATGGAAAGTCAAAGGAATATAAACATAGTTCAAGCAGGAAAATCCTACCAAAAAAAAAAAAAAAAGGAAAAAAGAAATCAAAATCCATCATGTAGGCTTCATTTATATCAAGGTTTTCATACCCCGGATCTAAAAAACCAATCATCTCATCATCACAACGATCAACCAAAATTACAATTAAGCACTTTATAGAAAGAGTTCTTTCTCCTTTGCAAAGATATTTGAAGAGACTTAGGATACCATGCAGTTTTAAGGTCTTTCAAATAAAATGAGGCATTATGACTACAGAATACAAATGCAATTAAAGTTAAATATACTAGAATACATCAAAGAAAAATTTGGAAACTAGTAGCTCTAATGATCTTTAAAAAGATGAAATCATATTGAGGTATGATAGCTGTATTATTTTGAAGGGAGGAAATTAAGGCTTTTCATGGAACTAAAAAGCTCTTCTTCCAGCTGAACATTCCAGAATGCACCCTCTCTCCCTTACCTACCAGCAAGCATCAGGATGAAAGGGTTATTTCCAAACACTTCTGCTTATTAACCCCTCCTCTCCAGTGCTGAAAAACTAGAAGACAGACAAAACACATACTTTTAATTAACAAACATTTGGAGGTGAAGATGGGTTGTTAGTGAATGACAATTGTTAACCCTCAAAACAAACAGGATGCAGTGCTACTTAGCCAATTGCAGGTTCCTAACCAAATAATAGTGGGCCCTAGGAAATTCCAGGGACCTTTTTCTCCTTGCATAAAGGTCTCAATAATACTGCTGTGCTCAATGCCTATAAAAAAAATCTCCACTAGCCAGAGGTGTACTGTTCAGATTGAGAGGGAGAGTTTCCCTCTTTGCTCTGAAGAAGCCAATTCCTCCAGCTCATCCCTATTGTTGCCATTTCACTCATGTTAACACACATGGTGGGCATGGCACAAAATGGAGTTCTCAGCACCAGGTGACGTTTCTGCTTTTGAGGAAAAAAAATCTACACCTTTACAACCCCCCCCTCCCCAGCTGATAATGGCTTACCCAAGCCTGTAGACAATTTAACAGGTTTATTTGTTCTTAATCTGTGGAAAACAAATTAGGCCGTGCTTGAGGATAACTATGGAGCAGTCAGAGAGACAGCAGCTTTAGGTGTATACAGTCAAGGATAGGCCAGCCAGCTTCATCTGCAAAGAATTCTGTACACCCTGCCCCTCCCCCTCCTCCTTTTAGATTTTTCTAGACAAAGGCCGTTTATTTTAATGTGGCAAACTCAGAAAATTCCTAGAAAGCATGTAGGGTTGACACACATTCAGCCGATGCCATCATTTCAGGGTCAGGGCCTGCCAAATCTGGCCAAGGAGAATTTCGAATTCCTCAATAAGATGGCAGTTAGAAGGCTCCTCTCTGAGAAGTTACTGGTTTCAGAGCTAAGGCAGATGGTGCAGTTTCCATCCCCGTACGCCCTGCCCAATCTCAGGCTTTGGGAATAAAAATGACAAAAGTCAAGATTTAGGGTTCAGTTCCAGCTGATTTTATTTCCTTCTCAAAAAAAGTTATTTACAGAAGGTATATATCAACAATCTGACAGGCAGTGAACTTGACATGATTAGCTGGCATGATTTTTTCTTTTTTTCCCCCAAACATTGTTTTTGTGGCCTTGAATTTTAAGACAAATATTCTACACGGCATATTGCACAGGATGGATGGCAAAAAAAAGTTTAAAAACAAAAACCCTTTAACGGAACTGCCTTAAAAAGGCAGACGTCCTAGTGCCTGTCATGTTATATTAAACATACATACACACAATCTTTTTGCTTATTATAATACAGACTTAAATGTACAAAGATGTTTTCCACTTTTTTCAATCTTTAAACACAACAGCTATAAACCTGAACACATATGCTATCATCATGCCATAAGACTAAAACAATTATATTTAGCGACAAGTAGAAAGGATTAAATAGTCAAATACAAGAATGAAAAACGCAGTACATAGTGTCGCGAACTCAAATCGGCATTTAGATAGATCCAGTGGTTTAAACGGCACGTTTTTGCTTATAAAAAAAGTGCAAAAAAGATGTGGTTTACAAGTTAAAGCTACAGGATCCCTTTTTGCTGTAAATGCACCAGTTTTAAAGCCTCTAGACAGAACAGTATTTTGTTTAAAAAGTGTTTTGTTTCTTTTTTTTTTTTCCTTAAAAGCATACAGTGTTTGGCTAAATCTCCTCCCCTCCTTGTAAGACTGGGGTCGAAGGGTGGACACTGGTGGCCGGGTAAGGGATACTGTCACTTTAAGAAGCCTGCAGATTGAAGTGTAAACATGGAGAAATTAGGGGCTGATTTTTTAAACTGTGTGAGATATTAACCAGCCGCCCTATTATAAAATCAGGAAATCCAAACAGCGATTTACACCGATTAACACCCCCTTTATATATTTTTTACAAAAATACACTGAGAAAATAATCAAACGTTTTCATCTCTCTTGTCTTTTTTTGTTTTTTAAAAGTGTCAAAAGTCTACATTTAAATATAAAAAATTAAAAGTTAAAACTCTAGCCCTTCAGTGAAGGAGACGTAAAATGGCGTGGGTAACAATAACTACCAAAAAAAAAAAAAAAAAAGAAAGAAAAAAAGAAAAGAAAAAGGAAGGAAGGAAGAAATAACAGAAGTCAAAAGAAAGCAAAGAGAGCCAAAGAAAGTAAAGAAATAAGGGACAAAGTAAGAAAACAATGTTTGGCCAGTATAAATACGTCCACATATAAAATGGCATCTGATTACATTTACAAGGAAAAAAAAATACGAGGATGGAGCATCGGTGAGGGAAAAAAACACGTCTTCTCATTTACACCTAGAAGGAATAAACACATACACACTGAGAAAAAATTTGGTCCTGAATTGTTTTTTTTAAAGTCCAGCACAGATTTGAGTTGCGTTTGAATCCTTTAAAGAGTTAAGAATGAAAAAAAGCTGGTGATAATTTTGTTTGTAGGAATCAAACATAGCGCCATCTATCTGCTTTTTATATTATCCTACACTATTTTAAAAACTGCTCAACAGTCTTATACAGAAATCTTTAAAAGATAGACAGGATAACATGCTATATTAACCCCACCAGTGAAATAATCCAACACCATCACGATTCCGATTAAGAGAAGAAAAAAACCTTTTTCTTTTTTCCCCCGAAAACACTCGCCCTCCACTGCCCCGGTACCACCTCAGTCTCCTCTGCTCCACGCCCGCGGGCCTGCGAAGTCTCACCTCGCCGATTTCACATCTGCACCAGGCGGAGGCCCGGAGGCGCCGCCACCTCCTCCCGAACGTGCAAATCCAAGTCAGTTTTATTCTGAGCCCCCTTCCAGTTCGCGTCCTTCTGTCCCCCGCCCCTCGCCCTGGCTGGTGTGGCTTCCAACTAGGTTCTCAGGTCATTTCCTAGCGCCGGTCACGCAACATCTCCTACTCCGGCTGCAGGAGCAAGAATTAAAAGAAAAAAAAAAAGGAAAGCAAGCAAAGCAAAGGAAAAGCAAAGGAAAAAGGGAAAAAAGTGGGGGTGGGGGCGTATGAAAACGGGCATTCACCAGCGTGGAGTCTCTCAGTCCCGGCGCTGCAGCCTGCACCACCTCGCAACATCTGCCGTCGGTCAATTCCGTCGCCCCGCGGCCTCTTTTCCATCTTTCTTGGCAAAAAAGAAGGGGGTGGGGGGCGGGCGGGGATGCTTGAGCACAAAATCCCCAGGGGCGCGATGGATTTTTTTTTTTTTCCTTTTCTTCCTCTCGCCACCAAGAAAGAAAATAAAATAGAAGCAAAAACAAAACAAAGCAAAACACCAAGGGTGGGGGCGGGGGGCGATGAGAGAGGGACGAGATTCCTTCAGTCTCTAGAAAAACTACCCCTTCGGCTTCAGGCCGGAGAGGGGGGTGCAGACAAGTCCGGAAGCTCGCTGGAAATGGGGGTGGGGGGGACCTCTTCAAGCAAAGGGGCGGAAACTCGAAGTAGCTTTTTCGCCATCAACAACAACATCAAGAACAACAATAAAAGGTCGCCCCGGTCTGCCCTCGGGCCCGGGGCGGGGTGGGGGATGGGGGCGCGGGCCCCCCAACAACGCCGCCGCGCTCCTGCTCCGTCGACGGGGACGCGGCCGAGGCCGGCCCTGCTCCCTCCTTTTTCTTTTTTTTTTTTTCTTTTTTTCATTTTTTTGCCTTTTCTTTTTTTTTTTCTTTTTCTTTCTTGCTTTTCTCCCTTTTTCTCTCTTTCCACTCTTCGTCTGCTCACTCCTCTCTCTCTCTGGGTCTCTCTCTCTCTCTCTCTCTCGGGGTCTCCTCGCTGGCCCCGGCCCGCTCGCCCCCCGGCCGCGGCCCTCAGTAGGTGAAGACCAGGTTGGAGATGCTGGACTCGAGCCAGTCTCCCGAGATCATCTCGCTCACCTCGGGCGTGCAGTAGTCCGGGAACTCGAAGTGCGAGCCGGAGCCGGGCTCGAAGTTAAAATCCAGGTCCCGGTCCAGCGCCGACGACGAGCTGAAGCTGCCCAGCGACATGCTCTCGAAGTTGGGGCTGGGGTGCAGGTCGAGCAGGTCGTCTTCGAACTCGTCGTCGGACGACGAGGACCCGGCCGAGGACGACGCGGACGACGACGACGAGTGCGACGAGGCCGACGACGACGACGCGTGCGACGGCGCGCTGGACGGCGCGGGCGACGCGGCGCGCAGGCTGGCGTAGCTGCGGTGGTCGGCGGGCGAGTGGCCGGCGGCGGGCGACGACGCGGCGCTGCTGCGACCGCTCAGGCTCGGGCCGTCGGGCGCGCCGCCCGCGCCGCCGTCCTCGTACAGGCCCAGGGGGTCGCTGGGGTCGGCGCCCGCGCTGACGCCACCCGCGGGCGACGCGGCCGCCGCGCCCAGGCCGCCGAACAGGTAGACGCGCTTGACCTTCTTCTCCGGTAGGTGCTTGGCGGGCGGCGCGAGGGCCGCGGAGGCCGCGGCCGCCGCCGCCGCCGCCGAGGCCGCGGCCGAGGCCGAGGCGCCGGGAGTCCGCGCCTTGTAGAGCGAGTGGTGGTCGGCGGCCGCGGCGCCCAGGGGCAGCAGCGCGGCGGCGCCCGCCTGCTCGGCCGCGAAGGCCGCGGCCGCCGCCGCCGCCTTGCCGCCGGCCGCCAGGACGAGCTTGGCGTGCGGCTTGCCGACCCCGCCGCCCGCGCCGCCCGCCGCCTTGGAGCCGCAGCTCTTCTTCTGCGCCGGTTTGGAGTTGGCGCCGCCGCCGCTCGCGCCGCCGCCTCCTCCCCCCGCGCCGCCGCCGCCGCCCCCGGCGCTGCCCCCGTGGCCGCCCCGCCGCTGCCCCCGACCTTGTCGGCCTTGTCCCCCGGCTTGGAGGCGGCGGCGTTGGCCGAGGCGCCGGCGTTGGCGTTGCCGGACTTCACCTTCTTCCTGGGCCGGTACTTGTAGTCGGGGTAGTCGGCCATGTGCTTGAGGCGCAGCCGCTCCGCCTCCCGAATGAAAGGGATCTTGTCGCTGTCTTTGAGCAGCTTCCAGCGTTTGCCCAGCCGCTTGGAGATCTCGGCGTTGTGCATGTCGGGCGACTGCTCCATGATCTTGCGCCGCTCGATCTGCGACCACACCATGAAGGCGTTCATGGGCCGCTTGATGTGCCCGCTCGGCGTCTTGCACCAGCTCGGGTCGTCGGCCTTGCCGCCCGTGGAGGCGGTGGAGCCGGGCGTGGGCGACGAGGCGATGCCCAGCTCCAGGCCGGCGCCCGAGTCCGAGCTCTCGCCGGCCAGCAGCGCCTCGGTGTTCTCGGCGTTGTTGGTTTGCTGCACCATGGCCCCGGCTCGGCGGGCGCCCACGCGCGCTCACACCCTCGCGGCGGCGGCCGCGGCGCGATCGCCGGGCCCTCCCGGCTCCCCGGGCCGAGCGCGCGCCGAGCGGGCGGACGGGCGCGGCGGCCGAGCTGGCCCCTCAACTCCGCGCCGGGCCGGCGGCGGGCGGCGAGCGAGAAGTCCCCCAAAGATGCGGGGAAGGAGGGCTCCGCCTCTGGCAGAGGAGTTATAGTTCCCAGGCTGGAGCGTCTCTCCCTGCCCCTCTTTGCTTTCTTTCTTTCGCTCGCTCTCGCGCTCGCTCGCTCTTTCTCTCTCTCACCGCGCTGCAGTTTGCTCTGGCTGGCGGCTGCGAGTCTGGAGACCGTGCTAGAGTGGAGAGGAGTTTCTTGAAGGCTGGTTGCAGATGCTTCCAAGGCAAGTTTCTCGCCGCCTCCCGGCAAGTCCTTTTTTTTTTTTTTTTTTTTTTCCTCCTCCTTTCTCCTTCCCCTGAAGCAGTTGATTCCAGTTCTCGAGCGCTCTCAGGAGCTCAGGAAAGCGACATTGTCTCTAGCACTTAGTCCCTCTCCTACAATGCAAAGCAGAAAAGACTCTGGCTCCAGGACTCTCTGTGGGCGGAATCGGCACTAAGGAGTTTGTGCAATTATTTTGTTGCAAGGTAGGAAGCCAAAAAGCCTTCATGCAACAGACTGGCATGAATAAATGTATGTTTCCCCCTCCCTTCTGCAAGAAGGGAGCTGGTAATGGCAGAGTTCCTCCAGTGCAGACTCTTAAAAAGAGCGTGCAAGAACTAGAGACCCGGGAGCGGAACGGGCCTCTTCCCCTCACACACTGTTTCTCTTGCTGCAGCTTAGAGCAGACCCCAATTCCGCCTCGCGCCTCTTTATCCTTTCACAGTCTTGGCCGCGGCCAATCAGCCGCTGTAACCAACGCTTCCTCGTGCCAAGCACCACCCCCTGGCTTCCCATTGGCTTGGAACCCGATGCAATAATAATCTCCGCGTGCAATGAGAAGCTCCAAATCTGACCTCATTCCAATTTACAGAGCAAACTTTTTAAAAGGGCTAGAAGTACAGCTGAGATTTCTGCTGCCTCTTTTTTCCTTTTGGTGTGTGTGTGTGTGTGCGCGTGTGCGTGTGTGTCTGTCTGGTGTGTGAAGAGGATGTTAATGCATGAAATTATTAAGGGGAGAGACGGAAATGTATTCTAACCATTATGTTAGATAACAAGGGGCTTGCAAGGGGGGGAAGGGTGAAATACTGTAAATGGAAGCTTTCTGCTTAAAAGCCAAGTGATTATTTTTATTAGTTCTTTTCAGTATTAGAATAAAGAATCAGCCTCTAGTGCAAAATCTGTTCCTCTGCTCCTTCATCAAGCCAAGCGAGGTAGAAGTAAGGGGGGGGGGAGCACCAACAATAAATCAGGAGATATTGAAAACCATTAAGAAAGTGGTACCTAGACACCTGTCATCACAATTATTTCGACAACTCTCGGTACAGCACAGATGTTGATATATTGTATAAATCCCTCCAGAGCAATTTTTGTGCTGTTTGTAGAAGGCTAAGAAGAGGAATTTTTGCAATAATTGCTTGCTCTCTTAACCAAACAGGGGTTAACTATGGCTATTTGATGATTTAAGCTCCCCCATAAATCCTGGATAGCCCAAACAGAGGAGCTTGGGGTTGGAACACATTTGGCAGTGTTCTATAATTAACTCAGGAGGGAGAATTTCCACAGAGCTTTATATAGGATAATAAGGGAATGGAGTCAAGGATGGAAATCGATTTTACTTTCTAAATATTTGTCTTCTGCATTTTCAAAATCAACGATTGCTTCGCTCTCTCTTCCTCGTTACATACGTTGGCGTCTGTGTATTTTGTTATTTGAACCAAATGGAACTAAAAGACCAAGGTGCAGGAGAACTGTCTACAAGGAGGTGGTGACCAGTAGCAGAGCAGACTGGAGCCTCTGGCTTCATAGGAGACCTGGCAGTTAGTCCTTCTCACAGGTTTTGCAACCCTGGGGATGTGACCAAGTGTTGGTTTTCCTCATCTGTGATAGGGGAACACGAGAAACTGTAGAGGATTGTTTGGCTGGTTCAGTGACTTTGATGTGTGGTAAAGTGAACCCTCAGTGAGGGCTGTTATCCTTCCCTGGGTATGGCTCACACTGGAGACACTGCTTCGAGTAGCAGCAGCATGTTGTTGAGGGAACTAAAAAATTGAGGCTGACCACCGACATGGGCAGTTGGTGATCTGAGATCACACATCCCAGATCTAATCACAGACCGTGGGTGTGAGCCACATGGGGACAGCAGTCTATTTGGCACACATGTTCATTTGGCCTCAACATTTTTCCCTATCCCAAGGTGTCAAAATTAGAATCCTGTTAAAGATGGGTCTTCCTTAACACCATAATAGCAAACTGTTTTCTACACAGCAGTGATTGGTGGTTTGGAAGGGCCAGCCTGACATAATTCAGTCAGTTTTAGGCTCAGATCAAACTAGTGCTAAGCAGCAGATTTCTATTTATCTTGTCAAACTCTTATGGTATGTAGTAGACTGGCGAGAGGCCCAGGATGTCAGATTTTGAAATCTTACTGGAAAGAACACCTTTTGGAGACATGGATCTCTTAAGGATCAACCCCAAACAAAAATGTTTTTGTGGATAAAGAAAAAAAAAATTTTTTTTGTCCACTAGATATACCTTTTTTTTCCTTGTAGAAGGGGGGAAAAAAATCTTACAAACCAACACAAAAACCCACAGGCACCTTTTTTGCATATTACAAAGCTGGGTGTGTTATCATGCATTTCATTTCCATCGGTATGCACACCAAACACACCCCTAAATGTTACCAATCGGAGTCATTACTCTAATAAAAGGCCTATTATTTATAAAATCAATCTTTTCACTAGAGCAAAAAAAGAGAAACACTATATTGGAAGACTTGTACCAACTGATGATTTGAGGGGTGACTAGGTTGTGATAATTCAGTCTCAGTGAGTATCAGTGTAATTTATTATTTTTCTACAGCCATTTATGCTTCTGCCACTGAACATGATGGGGAAAATGGAAGCCAATTGGAGCATTTGGTGGTCATTTTTATTTGTGCTTAAACAGAGATTTTCAGAAGTATGCACTAAAAAAATAGCCACTGACCTATTTTTATAGGAGATATGTTTTCTGTATTTCAACAAATCTAATAGTTGTTAAGATGCACCATTGTTACATGCCACCAAGAAAGAAAACCTGCCAATGAAACTGACATCCATCTGGTTCTAGGCTGCTTTCTAGTTCAGAGATGTTGAAAATGGAAAGAAAAAAGTGCTTTTTAGAATTGAAGAGATGTTATAGTGTCTGTGAATGCTAGGACTTCTGAAGTCGGTTTGCTCCTGTGTCCCAGTGGTTCTCTTAAAATGTAAGAAAGCGTGTGACAAATGAAAAGATTATAAAAATCACCTTTCTCACCAACTGAGTCGTATGTGCAGGCCAGAATATGTGGAGCCTTGGAAAAGATTTCCGCATTCTCATTACCTAACTGTATTCTTTGTAACCAGTTCTCCATTACTGACATTTCCCCCCCAAATGCTAGATATTTGGTGGCCCCAGCTAAATCAGTACTCAGTGTTCCCTCTGCTGGCTCTACAGTACATGAAGTAATTCTTAATGCTACACTCTAAACCATATTAACAGAAAACCAAGATAATTTTGCGAAAAATAAAAATCCTGTTTTAGAATAATAAACTAGTTATCTTTACTGGCAATGATGCTAGACATTTCAAGCTTAAATTATGGTAAATACTTTTTTTTCCTGTGAAATAAAGGCATTCTGTTTGAGGTGCAATACAGTATCCACTAATTCATTCCTTTTCTTCTGCTTTCACACACCTGAACAACATAAAATCTCTCATCTACAAAATGGCATGGAATATGGATGGAAATAAGATTTTCTGTCCCACTGCTTAACAGATTCCTATAGCATAGAGGGAAAAGAAAAGAAAAAAACCTGAAGGGGAATTAGTTTAACAGATCTCCCGCATTTGCACTGATTTGCAAAATGTTGCTTTGCCTTGATTGTAGAAGCTAGTCTGACCTGACAAGTATTCAGCTCAGATAAAGTAAGGGGGTGGGGATGAGACACCCTGTCTTTGTTACTCTTTGCAGACAGAGAAGCCCTGGGAAATTTGATGGCATTGTCTTTTGTCAAATGGAAGAACCCCGGGCTTTTCAGTTCGCACTTCATGGAAAAGAACCCTCCTTGCAAGGCTGATTTACTCTGTGTAGCAGACGACACAACTTGCACTCTGTCCTTTGGGCTGATGAATTGTGCGGGACTGGGCCCTCCCTCTCGAGGGTGGTGGTAAAAATCCGTATAGGCGGATAACCCTTACTTGCCAAGCACTGAAATAGGGTTCTAGGCAAAATGAAGCCCCCACTCGATTTTTATTCTTAGAGTAAACTAAGAGGGAAGAATCCTGCCTTCTTCATCCCTTTTACCACTTTCTGCTCCTAACCAGTGACTTGGACATGTGGGCTTCCGTGCCAAGGCCAGCTCATTTTCCCTTTCCTCTCGACTTTCTCACGAGCACGAGCGGAAAACGAGTGTTCGCCTGGGCCAGGACGTTTGGAGCCTGAGCGCGAGCTTCTGCTCGGTGCTGCCGGGCGGAGGCCCACCCGCGGGCAGCCCGTGTGCCCTGCGCCGGCGGCGCTGGGGGGGGGGGCGCAGCCGCCAGGTGGCAGCGCTGAGCCTCCCTGCGCCGCGCGGACGTGGGAAAACGTGGGGACCGCCCGACCGCTTCATTCCCCCTCTTCTCTCCCGCGCCCCCTGCTCCTCGACTCTACCGTCCGTCGTGGCCGTTTGAACGGTCTGCGGGTGAGGGGGCGTGACGTGCGTCCTGATGATTCCCCCCGTGAATACGAGTCTGGGACCAGCCGCCGCCGCCGCCGGTTACTTGGCAGCGCCCCAGCCCCCGGGACGCGCGCTGGCGGGGGCTGGCGGGGGCAGGAGCGGGGCGTCAGCCCCGGGGCATCTGTGGCCGCGCGGGGGAGGACGTGGAGCACCTGCTCCGCGTCCCCCTCGGGCTTCGGAGAGCGGGACTCACGGACCAGCCCGGCCACCCTCCTCCCGAAAGATGGTTTCCCTCGCCGAGCGCCTCGCCGAGCGGCGCGGGGCTGCGCGAAGGGCGCTCCCTGCCCGGAGCTCGGCCGGGGTAACGGTGTCGGCCCCGCGCGCGAGCCTCGCCTTTCGATTACAGCCGCGCGGAGGAAATAGATTGGAATCGACTCAGGCTGTGCCTTTTGGAGGAAAGTCTTTCCGACTGTAAACATGTTTCAGGCGATCCTGTCAGCAGCATTTTAACACCCGTCTTCCGGGAAGGTTTTACGACGCGGGCAGGAGCTGCAGACACACACACACCCGGGAAGGGAAGGCGCTGTAGACACGCTCGCGCACACACGCACGCACGCGCCCCGAGGGAAGGAGCTGCGCGCTAGAGCACGCGCACACACACCCTTTTGAAGGAGCTGCACGCGCGCACAAGCACGCACACCGCCTCTCGAGGAAGGGAGCTGCGCGCGCACAGACAGGGCAAGGGAAGGGGCCGTGTGTGCGCGCGCACACACACGTGCACAAACACACACCCACCCACACCCTGGAAGGCGGGGCAGACACGCGCACACCTTGGAAGGAGCCGCAGACTGACCCCCGTGCGAGCGCGCGCAGCCCGGCGCCCTCGGGAGCGCGCCGCCTCCTGCAGAAGTTGCGACTGTCCCTAGCAGGCCGGGAGGGCGCTTCCCCGGAGCGCGGCCTCTCCTTCCTCCGCCCCCACCTCCGGAGCCGGCTTGGCCCTCGGCGCGGGTACCCAGTTCCCTCACGGCCGGAACTGACAGCCCCTCGGCCCTTGTCCCGCGTGCCCGCAGCCTGCATCCCGCCCGCCCGAGCGCCTGCTGCGCGCCCGGAGCCCACGCGCCGGCTGGTCTGCGACACCCGCACACGGGCTGGGCACCCCTCCCGGCCCTCCCCCCGCAGGCTGAGGCCCCGTTGAGCGTGCAGCTGCCCGGTCTCTGAGGGGGGGCGAAGCCGGAGCGGGGGCGGGGACAGGAAAAAAACAAAAACCAGACTAAGGGAGGTTGACGATTGGATGCCCCCGAATCCGCGAGTGTCCCTCCGCCGGCGTCCCGTCCCCGGGACTTGGAGGGGCAGGCGCGACTCTCCCCTCCCTCTTTCCTCGCTTCTGGGGAACAGGCTGGGGTGGGGCGCGTGTGGAGTCCGCGAGGGCCGCGGAGGCGCGCCAGGATGCCGGGCGCCTTGCCACGGGCCTCACGGGACACCCCGGTGATTTGCTCTTCCAAACTCCACCCACAACCTGTGCCCTGCGGTTTCAGGGCAGAGTCGGGCGGAGAGCGCCGAGGCTGCCTCCCGGGCGGGCGCGGGACTACTGAGAAGCCAGCTTTGCGGAGGGGCTCGCCGGCCGTGTCCCCTCTACATGGCGGGGTGGGGGGCGGGTACTCTCGACCCTTTTGCCTGTTACTGCGGCCAAACCGGGCGCAGACGTCTGGGTGAGCTGCCTTCGCCACCCGGGGGCGCCCGGAAACCACCCCCAGTGACCCGGCCCGAGGCTGGGGCGGGAGCGCGCCCCCACCCACCGCGTCCGCACCCCCCCCCAGCAGCAGAAGCGGCGGGAGCTGGAGCCGGTGGGGCGAGCGGTGGCCTCGCGGGCGCGCAACGCTGAGCCGGCGGCAGCCCGAAGCCCGCGGTGTGAGCCGGGCCGCGGCCACTGGAGGCCGCGCAGGGGCGGGCTGGGCGGGGGTTCTCCGGAGAAGGGGACCGCGCCGGGCCGAGGGCCGCGGGCAGGATGTCTCGTTAGGAGACGTGAGGCCGCGGGGAGGAGGGGAGGGAGGCTGCGCGGGAACGCGGGGCGGCGGGACCGTGCGCACCGCAGGGCCGCGGGGGGGGGGGGGGGGGGGGGCCCGCTGGCAGGCTCGCTGGGGGGGGCGGGTGGCGGGGGCTCGCCCGGGCCCGGCCCGCGGAGACCTGGAGTCACGTGTGGCAGCGGCAGCCGCGCGGCGGGAGCGTGGAGCCGGGAGGGGTGGGGTGCGGCGGGGCGGGGACCAGGGAACTCGGTGCCCCAGACCGCGCCGGGCGTGCTGCGCACCTGGCACCCGGGGCTCGCCATCTGCCGGGAGCTCAGCGCCTCTCGGGCCGGGGTGTGGCCTCCGGGGAGATAAGGACACCCCCGGGGAGCGGACGGCTGCGTGTCGCCCCGCCGCGAGCGCAGTCAGAGTTTATGGAGCTCCTACTGTGTGCCCCGCGCAGCCGCGGCCCCTGCAGCTGCTGGCTCGGGAGCGGTGCCATCTGCTCTGCTTCACCCGCAAGCTGGAGCGTATTGTAAATTCACAATGGGAACAATAACCTATAAGTGAGTTCACTGTGGCAAGGGATGGTTGAGGCAGACTGAGGGAGTCTGGTCTGGTCGAGCCGGGCATGAAAGTTTTGTGATGTTTCTCTACTTCCCGGAACGGGAGACTCCGCCCCCCCACATGCTCCCCACCCCCATGGTCTCACCACGCAGAGCTCACGATCAACAGTTAAAAAAAAGCGAGTGACACTTTGGCTAGCTGGGTTCACAGATAGATGCAGTGCAGTCCCTAAACCCTCAACATTGACTCAGTCATTTCATAGAGATCAGATCCAAAGCACTGCCTCCTTACAGCAAGTCTCCTCGAATGGCCCTCCACTGCCCTGAAAGGAGATTCATGGATTATACAACCTTCCACTCCCCCCACCCTTGTATTTCCTTTAAATCAACATCATGCTCAAGGTTCAGTACAGTGGAGAAGTACAAGGTACTCAGTAACCAACACACCTACGGATAACCAAACCGCATTTCAAATGTGCGTGCTGGGCCGTTTCTCCAGAACACTCAGAAGCCCCACATTTCCAAAATGCTCCATAGGGGGTACGACTGCCTAGATGTGCTTTAAGCACCGTGGACCCCAGGAAAATATGAAGTAATGGAGGGGGTTGCGCTTTATAGTCTAAATTCTTCTAATAATTTATCTTTAACGGGTACTATCGGGGTGCCCCCATCAGGTATTACCACTCTAGCGCACCCACCACCGGTCACCCGTATTCCACCGCCATAGTCCATTTTGCTTCCTTCCCTCTTTGTTTTTTCCTTCCCCTGCACCTCACTCCCTTGGTGCTTCAGTTTTGTAGTTTGCTATCAAGGGTTAGTTTTTCAGCTTGTCTTTATCTGACTATTAAATAGTTACTTTATAGTCCATGTATTAGTCCCACCATCTGGTATTTATCTTTCTCCTGACATACTTCACTTAGCATTATCCTTTCAATCGCCATCCACTTTGCCGCAAATGGCTCGGTTTATCTTTTTTGACCGCTTTGTAGTATTCCTCTGTGTGTGTGTGTATCACATCGTCCTGACCCATTATCTATTCTGGGGCACACAGGCTGTTTCCATAGTTTATAGTAAACAACTCTACAATAAACATGGGAGTGCACGTTTGTTTTGTTATTAGAGTTTGAATTTTTGGATAGATGCCTAGGAGTGGAATTACTGGGTCCGATGGCAGATCCATGGTTAATGTTTTGAGGCTCCTCCACACAGCTTTCCATAGAGCTGGACCAGTTTGAATTCCCACCTGCAGTGTAGGCGGTTTCCCGTTTCTCCACATCCTCACCAGCACGTGATGTTTCTGGTCTTTTCGATGGGGGCCATTCTCAAGGGTGTGAGGTGATAGCTCCTTGTGGTCTTGATTTGCATTCTCTAGCGAGTGATGGTGAACAGTTTTTCATCTGCTTGCTGGCCATTCGTATATTCTGAATTCTTTTTTAAAAAAAGATTTATTTATTTATGCACACACGAGCTGGGATACAGGCCAGAGGTGTGTGTGTGGGGGGGGAGAGAATTTACCAGAGACAGCGTGGGGAACAGGCAGACTGACTGAAATACACTGCTGAGGGGAGCAGCAGGCGGGTCAGGAGAGGTCTGCTGCACCATGTGGGTAGCTCCCTGGCGGGGGATCGAATTCATGCTGCAGTGAGTGGCTGTGGGCAGCTTCATAGGTTGTGTCTTAACCCCTTGTGCCACCAGGGAGACCCCTATTCTAAATTCTTAGTCACAGTGGCTGTGGAAGAGTCTTAGAGTAAATCAGCCTCCTGGTGTTTGTGTGTTTCTGTGACCCCTCCCGGACTGACATAGGACTTGGTCACATGACCTGTGGCCTGTGGGGCATTTAGCAATCATGGCGCACACAGTGGTTTGATAAGTGCCTGCATGTTGGGGTTTGTACACTTTAAATACTGAGAACGTCATGTAAAAAAGCTTGTCTAACCTTCTGGATGATGAAAAAGCCTTTTGAGAGAGCTGCTGTTTCCGTTGGAGTTCTAAGGCAGGAGTAAAACCGGTATTGCTGCTTGCGGCAGGGGAATTCTCTCTTCCTGGGGGAGGGAAGCCTGGGGGGAGTTAGTGTTTTTTGAAACTAATAAAGAATTGTATTTACTTAGGAGCATTCAGAATGTCAACAAAACAACTGCAGCTTTTTCCCCCTCAATTATGGCGGTATTCCGTTAGCAACAATTATTTCAAATAAGCGGCATCAGAGATATATCAGAGATAAGTGAAGATGAAAAATTACCAACCACGTATCTAACTAATTTGTGCTGTGCACCAACAAGAACCTGCTTTAAATTTCTATGCCAGGGTCCAACCCCTGTCGTGGACCAGGCAAGGTTAGTGGCTGTTGAAAACATCTCCAAGACAGGGCTGTGTGAAGACACATTCGCTCCGGGCGCTTTGGCTACAGGGACCACACCGGAGAGGGGAGTCCTATACTGTCAAAAAATTCAGACGGATGTAAGAAAATGGTACTGCGCTGAAAAAAAAATTAAAAGACAGTTGTGTATTAACTATACCAAAAATGACACTGTACTGTTTGAAAACAGACCTTAGCCTTACATTTTTCCCCTTTAAAACGAGTGCGTTGTGTGCAGGAGGGGTTAGATGCTCTGTAGACTCCCCTCCCCCCAAAAAACTGCACTAGAACCAATTTGCTCATCATCATCTTCCTTCTCTTCTGTCATTTCTTTTCAGCCTTGACAACCCCCATTTGGGCCACATCAGTCTTTCCTTCAGCTCTGTATAGAAATATCCCGCTCACATTTTTAAAAAAATATATATTTTTTAAAGATTTACTTATGCATACAAGAACTGGGGTACAGGCCAGAGGTGTGGGAGGGTGAGAGGATTCACCAGAGACAGAGCGGGGAGCACAACAGGCAGACTGACAAAGTACACTGCTGAGGGGAGCAGCGGGTGCGACGGGAGAGGTCTGCTGCACCATGTGGGTCCCTCCCGGGGAGGCTGGGAATCGAACTAGCGCTGCAGAGGCTGCGGACAGCCTCACAGCGCTGCGCTCAACCTGCCGTGTCACCTGGGAGGCCCTCCCGCTCATAGTTTTCCTTCAGTTCGTAGCTTGCTTTTCATAAGGCTGCTTCTCAGCTGAGCTGTGTTCCTCCACCTCCCTTCCCGTGTCGTTGCAGTGTCACCAAAGCATAATGAGGATCCTCTGATTTTTCAGTGATACACAGAACAAAGCAAGAAAAAGGCCGAAGGGGGCCCCTTCAATACATTGGGGTCCTTGAACTTGTGTTTTGTTTCCCCTTTGAAGGGGGACAGAGGTTTTCATTTCTTTTTCGTAACAGACGTTGCCTGCCTTCTCCTGTCTTCAAACTTTCTGTTTAGCAGACCTCGCTTCCACCTTGCTACAAACGTCATGGAAAACTTTAGGAAGTTAAGTGAAACTGCTGGGTATTGTGGCTTGTCCTGCCCCTGGCAAATTTGCACAAAAATGCATATGATGACATTTTGCCTCTCAGTTTCTTAGGATCTCCTTTGCCCCAATTACTCTTCCTCAGCGAGGCACGAGTCTCCCTGTGCCCAACCTGTTCTCGTGGGCCTTGAGCTGTCTGTACGGAGCACAGTGTACTGTGATGGCTGGAGAACAGAGACGCATCCTTTTTTGTTCTGTTCACTCTCTCCACTGATTGGCCGAGCTTCTCCCCCACTAGAGAGGGCAGTCTCCTTTACTCAATTTAAGTATTCCTCCAAAGCCACCCTCACATAAATACCCAGAAAAATGTTCTATCCGGGCACCTCATGAGCCAGTGAAGCTGACATGTAAAATTAACTAGTTGTCAACAGTCCTGTATTAGAGAAATTAATATACACAAGTAGCCACCCCAAAAGGTATTTTGATGAAAGATGGGGATCATCTTCATCCTTCCTTTCTGATCTCTTACCCCCCAACTAATAAATGACAGCAAAGTTTCCATAATTAGGATTCATTCCTTTAGATTAGAATATATATTTTTCTAATTAAAATACAGATAATCTAGGAAGGTGGTGTATTGAGCTGCCGTTGGGCAGTAATAGTTTGCAGCTTAGTTCTTTGATGCCCTTCCCAGGAGAGTTATGTAGGTAGGTTTTCACATAGGCTGGACACGTTGGGGACCGGGAAAGAAAGACCACTTGAGGAGATTTGAATGTAATACTCACAGGAAACGGTTGCGGTATGACTAGGAGAAAAGGAAAAACTAGAGCTTAAAGTTTGCTGCCCACTTAAAGCCTATAGCTTGACTTTCTTGAGACTGGAAAGTCCCAGATGTTAATATGCAAGATAGTATCACTAAAATTACTTCAGGTTTAAGGTATGATACAGCTTAGCTCAGAATAGATACAACTTTCCTTTTCATGTATATGCCTCAAGGGTAAAAGAAAAAGAAAAAAAAGGACTAAGGAAACTCCAGCCCAGGTAATTAAAGGATATTCTTTACTAACCTTCCTTTAGAAGTAATTTTATTATGCTAATCATTGCCTGTAATATCTAGTAGTCCAAACAATAGTCACTAGAGTATTAGAATTTAGAGGATTAAAAAAATAATCATCAGAAAAAATGCTCTGTCTTTGTGGTAGTTTAGGTATCTCCTACTGTGTTGCCTTGATAGGCTGGACTATGCCGAGATACAGAAGTAGCCTGGAAATGCAGTGACTCGACATATTTGTTCATTTTTTCCTTCTTTCCTCCCAACCTCCCTCCCTCCCTCCCTCCCTCCTTTCTCTGATTTAAAGACTTCTGTGGAACCAGCAACTTTTCAAAGTGGTTCCCTTTTCCAAAAGTAGCATAGGAAAGCAGATCGAGTGGTGCATAACCAAACATGTGCCCTCCATGGTTACCATGAACAAAGAGTATAGAGCACGCGCATTCAGCCTCTCCGGGAAGTGGCGAGTCCTGTGTTCATAGTCCGTTGGACATAACAAGGCCCACGGCCCTGCCTGAAGACCTAGAAATAGGACACGCCTCTATGTCCCAGAAAATTGGACAGTAAGCATGGATGGATACTAGAAATCCGTTCCATGTGACCTGGGAATCAATAAACCTCATCTAAATTTGCTATTGAGTGAATTTAAGTAAATTCTATTTTCCTTTTGCTGAATATTAAAGTCAAAAGTTATACCCTGCCAGGAAATTTTTTTACCTAGACTAATATTTTAGGATGTTGTTTCTTTAAAAACTATAAGATGCAACCTATGAAGCTGTTTGCAGCCACTGCAGCATGAGTTCAATCCCCAGCTAGGGAACTACCCACATGGCACAGCAGGCCTCTTCTGACTTGCCTGCTGCTCCCCTCAGCAGCATACTCAGTCAGTCTGCCTGTCCTGTTCCCCATTCTGTCTCTGGTGAATCCTCTCACCCCCCCCAAACCTCAGGCCCATATCCCTGTTCTTATATGCGTAAATAAATAAATCTTTAAAAAAATAAATAAGCTGCTAGTCAAGTCATACTAGGGGGAGAGAAATCAAAATACTGGGCTGTTGGAAAAGTCATGACATATTTTTGCATAGGAAAAAAATGTCACAACTTTCCAACAACCCATTTCATTAATGTATATTTTTATATATAGATATATTTCTCATATATATATTCTCTTTTTCATATTATTCAGATTTTGAAGTTGAATGAGGAGGGAAGCTGAAAAGTTAAGTCCCAAACTTCTGAAAGATAGAGTTGTAAGAGTGGAGGAGATGAAAACCTACCGATCTCTCAATGAAAACTACAGGAAGATTGGGCCTCCCTGGTGGCGCAAGGGGTTAAGACGCAAGCTATGAAGCAATCTGCAGCCTCTGCAGTACAAGTTCAATCCCCAACTGGACAGGAAGCTACCCACATGGAGCAGCAGACCTTACCTGACTCACCTGCTGCTCCCCTCAGCATTGTATATCAATCTGTCTGTTCTGCTCCCTGCTCTGTCTCTGCTGAATCCTCTCACCCCCCACACCTCTGGCCTGTACCCCAGTTCTTGTATGCATAAATAAACAAATCTTAAAAATAAAACAACAGTATGAAGGTTATATCCAAGAAAGGGCTGGGCTAGAAATACAGAATAAAATCTCGATGTGTCCTGGTACTTGGAAGACTTAAAGTGTGGAGTCTACAAGTAACACAAGAATGTCTGACTCTCAGAATGTTGGAACTACAGATGGACTGAATTTAGCGGAAGGTAGGAGCCTATCCTAAACAAGTATATTCTTGATTGGGTTGGGGTGATCGGCCAGTCTTGTCTGCTTAATAGAAAGAACAGTAATTTTAATCTTTTCAGTTTATATATATATACACACACACACAATGTTCAGCATTCAATTTCAAATTATGAGACATGCAGAGAAACAGGACAAAGCAATTGATCAATAGAATTAGACAACAGAAGCAGACCCATAGATCATCCATCCAGATGTCAGATTTAGCATACATAGAACTTATTAAAATATTTTTTTAAAGATTTATTTATTTATTTATACAAGCACTGAGTACAGTCAGAAGCGCAGGAGGGTGAGAGAATTCACCAGAGCCAGAGCGGGGAGCAGAGCAGGCAGAAGGACCGAAGGACACTGCTGAGGGGAGCAGCAGGCGGCAGGAGAGGTCTGCGCGCCATGTGGGACCCTCACTGGGCGGCCGGGGATTGAACTGGTGCTGCAGAGGCTGCGGGCAGCTTCGCAAGCCAGCGCTCAACCGCTGCACCACCGGGGAGGCCCTAAAATATTTCTTAATAGAAGGAATAGAGAATTGGAATCTTTGAAAAAAAAAAAAAACAAAACATTTTAGATATAGAAAGTACACTGTCTTAAATTAAGAATTGATTGAATGGCCTTATATTAAGTCAGAAAAAAAGGACAAGACAGGATTTGTCAATCCAGTTACAGGTAATAGAAAATATACAAATGTAAGCATGGGAAAAAAAGCAAAGCAGTGCCAGGGATATGAAAGATATGACAAATGACTTAACATTGTGTTATTTATGTCTTATAAGGAGGGAAGGGAAAATGGATCCGAGTCATGTTTGAAGAGATGATGACTGAGAATTTTACCAATCAGTGATAGACGTAAATCCATAGGACCAAGAATCTTAGTGAAATTTTAAAGTATAGAACCTTAAGAGTAGAAGAGACGGAGGCTGGTATTTCACAGGACTAATATTTCACATGTATTTCTCTCTGATAGCTGTAGGATTAAACTAAAAATCAACAATGAAAAGGTAATCAGCCCCAAATGCTTTGAAAGTAGTCACCATACTTTTAAATAAACCGCATTAAAAAGGAGGACCCACATTAAAAATTAGAATGTATTTTGAACAGATTGAAAATGAAAATATGACATCAAAATGTAGTCATCAGAAAGTTTATAACTTTTTTTTTTTTTTTTTTTTTTTTAATATTTATTTGTTTGTTTGTTTTGTTTGTACATGCACTGGGTACAGTCAGAAGCGAGGGAGGGTGAGAGAATTCACCAGAGCCAGAGCGGGGAGCAGAGCAGGCAGAAGGACCGAAGTACACTGCTGAGGGGAGCAGCGGGCGGCAGGAGAGGTCTGCGCGCCATGTGGGACCCTCCTCCGGTGGCCGGGGAGCAGCCGGGGATCGAACTGGCGCTGCAGAGGCTGCGGGCAGCTTCGCAACCCAGCGCTCAACCGCTGCGCCACCGGGGAGGCCCAGAAAGTTTATAACTTTTAACACCTATATTAGAAAAGACCTCTTTGATTCCAGCTGGAGAAATGAAAGAGAAGAAGGAAGAACAATTGTAAACATAAACCCAGGAATAAAAGAAATAGAATCTGGCTGGCACACTATTGAGTAGAATAAATAATAAGTTCGTTCTTGAAAAGGTGAATACCCTAGCAAGATTGATCAAGAGAAAAAAAAAAAAAACTACCAGTATCATATATATAAAGGGTACACCATACAGATTATACAAACATTAAAAAGATGAGAAAGATAATCAAAATTGTATACCAATCAATTAACAACTAAAAGAAATGTGAGAATTCCTTGAAAGATACAACTTAAATACTAAATACTGATATTTAAAGAAATCTGAATATTTTTATAGTTATTAAGGAAATTGAATCTCTTATGTAGAAACTTTCCCTTCAAGATAATGTGCCTCATGATCCCTTCTAGCTTCACCCATGTTGCTGCAAATGGTATTGAGTTTATGCTTTTTGATTGCTAAATAGTATTCCATTGTGTATATATATCACATCTTCCTGATCCAGTCGTCAATTTGGGTTGTTTCCAAATCTTAGCTATAGTAAATAGTGCTGCAGTAAACATAGTGGTGCAGCTATCTTTTTGAATTCATGTTTTTGTGTCCTTTGAGTAGATTCCTAGGAGTGGAATTGCTGGGTCATATGGAAGCTCCGTTTTTTAGAAGTTTCAGGAACCTCCACACAGCTCTCCATAGTGATTGGACCAGTTTGCATTCCTACCAGCAGTGTAGGAGAGTTCCTTTTTCTCCACATCCTTGTGAACATTTGTTGTTGGCTGTTTTTTTTTTAAATGTGTGTCATTCTCACTGGTGTAAGGTGATATCTCATTTTGGTTTTGAGTTGCATTTTCCGATTATAGTGATGTTGAACATTTCTTTATATAGGTCCTTCACCTCTTTTGTTAGGTTTATTCCCAAATATTTGTTGGGTTTTTTTTTTTTTTTTTTTGGTTTCAATTATAAAAATTTCTTAATTTCTTCTTCATCAGATTGATTGTTTGCATACAGGAAGACTACTGATTTTTGCATGTTGATTTTGTGTCCTGCTACTTTACTAAATTGGTTTATAATTTTGATTAGTTTTTCTGTGGAGTTTTTAGGATTCTCTATGTTTATTACCATATCCTCAAATAGTGATAGTTTCATTTTTTCCCTATTTGGATTCCTTGTCTTTCTCTTGTTTTATTGCCCTGGCTAGGACTTCCAGTGTTATATTGAAAAGCAATGGTGAGAGAGGACATCTTTGCATTGTTCCAGATCTTAAGGGAAAGGCTTTCAGCTTTTCACTGCTGAGGATAATATTGGCTGTGAGTTTGTCGTACATAGCTTTTATTATGTTAAGGTATGTTTCTTCTTTCTCGTGCATTTCGAGGGTCTTCATCATAAATGGATGTTGAACTTCATCAAATGCTTTCTCAGCATCTATTGATATGATCGTATGGTTTTTGTTTTTCTTTTTGTTGATGTGTTGTATTACATTAATTGATTTTCGATGTTGAAACATCCTTGCGTCCCTGGAGTAAGTCCCACTTGATCATGGTGAATTATCTTTTTGATGCATTGTTGGATTCTGTTGGCTCAGTGTTCATTAGAGAGATTGGCCTGTAGTTTTCTTTTTTAGTGTTGTCCTTGTTTGGTTTTGTTATTAGTATAATGTTGTCTTCATAAAACATATTTGGTAGTATTCCTTCCTTTCAATTTTTTTTCTTTTTTTTTCCCCCTTCCTTCCAATTTTTTGAAAGAGTTTGTGTAAGATAGTTCGTTTCTGAATGTTTGGTAGAATTCATTTGTGAAACCATCTGGTCCTGGACTTTTGTTTAGGGGAGGGTTTTGATTCCTGTTTTAATTTCACTGCTTGTAGTTGGTCTGATTAGGTGTCCTATACCTTCTTTATTTAGCTTTGGATGATTGTATAGTTTTAGGAATTTATCCATCTTTTCTAAATTGTTGAAATTGCTGCTCAGTGAAATTAGCCAGAAGGAAAAAGAAAAATATTGAATGGTTTCACTTATAGGAGGAATATAGGGGAACCGAATAAGGCATCAGGGAAAAAATATTTATAATAAATATGTAATTATTATATAAGATTATATTATATTATTATATTATAAAAACAACAAACAAGTGGGCAACCATAAATAAGAGATATTCTGCTAGGGATGGGGAGGAAAAGGGATCAGAGTGGGGGAGTGAAGAGCACACAGGACTATGGTGAAGGTTCACGGGTGAATTAGTGGTGGGAATTTTACAGGGAATACACAATGATGTAAAAGATATAATTAAATAAATACACACACACATATAAAAGAAAATGCATTTCACTGGTGAATTTTCCAAAAGTTTAAGAAATAACACCATTGTTATAAGAATAATTTATAAATGAAATGCCTCACAATTGATTTTATAAGTCCATATAAATTTAATACCAGAACTAGCAAGGATATTAAAAGAACAGAAAATTACATTCCAATGTTCCTCATAGACACAGAGGCAACATTATTTTAAAATAATTTAAAATTGTTAGTAATTTTAAAAATATTAATCAGTAATATATAAAAAATATATATTACATGATGACTACATAGGAGTTAATCTAGAAATGCAAGTTGATTTAATATTAAAAAATAAGTCAGTATTCCATATTAATAAAGTAGAAAATTCATATAATGTTAATTGATATAAATTAACAACAAAAAGCGTAGGATAAAAGATTCAGCAACCAGCTAGGATAAAAACTTCACAAACTAGGGATAAAAGGGAACATTTTCAATCTAACAGCTAACTTTAATATTATATTTATCAAAGAATTTTGAACACTTTCTGCCTGAAGTAGGAAACAATACAAGGATATCTGTTCTCATCCCTTTTCTTCAGTCATTGTACTGTCGGTTCTAACCAATATAGTAAAGCAATAAAAAGTATTAAGAGATATAAAAATCAAAAACTTTTTATTCATAGACAAGATTTTCTATCCATAAAAACCAAAATAGCCTACATATTGTTAAAATTAATAAGAGCTCAGTATAGTCAGAATGCAAACAAATAGTATTTTCATATGCTAACAGCAAGCAAAACAATGTAAATCATATACCATTTAGAATATCAAAAATCATAAAATTCCTCTCATTTACTCTAGTGAAAGAGGTAAAAATCCTCTACTCAGAAAACTATAGAACTTTTCTGAGAAATTTAAAGATCTAAGTTGAGTTACACCTTACTTTTGGATTGGAAAATTGATTATTGTAAAAATACTGATTCTTCCAAAATTGGCCTGTTAGATTCGATATAAAACTCTTATTTTTTTGTTTGCTTTGTGGGGCTAGTCAAGCTGATCAAAAATTAAATGGAAATGCAATGGATCTGTTAGTCTTGATGAAAAAATATCCTGAAGAAGAAAAACCAGATTCTAAGAGCTATATTAATTAGCACAGTGAGGTATTGGTGTACATTAGACAAATTATA